CAGTATGATTAAAAATAGTTAATCAAGGTGCTTTGAGTAGCAAAATAAGCTAAACTGGTATAGCTAATTCAACCACAGAGCTTAGTGAATTTTAAAATGCACAACCTTTTCAACTCTTAATCATTCTTAAAATATTTATATCATCATTTCTGATTCAAGATGTCCCTCTTGGGAATTTTTCACTCATACGGAGACACTACCACTTAAAAATAATGAAGACGTACAAGTCGGATTTGAGGTTAACATTCATTTTAGGAGTTTTCAACAATTAAGACGTAAAGAGATAACTCCTTCCCCTTGCCCCTTCCCCTTCCCAGACCCCTTTTTGTTCATGTATGCAAACTAGTCTAATACTTTGGTTTGACATTAAAAAAATGTGAATATATACAAATTGCTTAATGGTCCATCTCTTTGAATGATTTTCATTCCTATTTCTAGGAGGGCACATGGGTTGACCCAAATTCATGAATGAAATGTCAAGTAATCTTATCATTGATGCACTTTTATTTAATTTGATGTAGTCATATTATGAACATTTCCAGTTCATTAAGAGAGTGGGGATGACCTCCAGGGGTTCATAACCTTAAACCATTAGATGTACATAACATAGTAACACAAGAAACAAAATTATGTATAGTCAAATGGAAAAGTTTTAGTCTATTTAGGAGTCACATGATCATTTGTCATTTCAGGGACAGGGAGCGGCTAGGGAGATTGGAACCCCCCTCCCCCTGGAATTTGCAGAGTTATTTAAATAGGGCTATATACTGATTTACAGAAGCAAATAAAAAATGACTTTGGATGCCCTCCCCCTTTAGAAACATGGACCCCACCATCATTGTTTTTATTTTGTTTGTTTGTTTGTTTGTTTTTTTTTGCTCCTCAGGAAATTCTGGGCTGGAATTTTTTTGACTGAGGTGTGGACCCCCCTCCCCCCCCCCCCCCCCCCCCGGAAAAAAATTCCCGGATCTGTGCCTGTAACACTGAATGTAATGTCGACAACGGGAGATAACTCTTCAGAATGTGAAATTCGTCTATTGTGGCATCCGATGATCCACTCTCTACCATCGGCTAGCTCATACATTCAGTGTCTGAGAGAGAAACGAACGACAACTCTGCATAGGAGATTGCCGATGATCTTTGATCCTTTTTAAACTTTAACCTAACCATTTGCATTTCGGTTTATTTTACCCCAATCTATACTTAAACTTGTACTTACCGACTGTCATAGGTCCTGTCAACTTCATGAAATATAATCCTATTAAAACACAAAATGAATTAATTTCCACTGATATACATGTAACACTGCAGCATGTCACATGGCATGTGCAATCTAAAAATGATAATGGTAAAACTAGTACTAGTACTAGTAGGGTGACGCAAGCCCAATGTGATGTAGAAATTTTCAAAAAGGTGTTCACATACATGTACAGTACAAGAACAAATTTTAAATTATCATAACAAACAATGTTTTAACATAACTTTGCCATCTAGGCCTATTTCCAAAAACAGGCAAATTGTGTGTATGTGTGTTGGGGGGGGGGGGGGGTGACAAAATTGATTGGTTATGGCTTTTCAAGGAGGTTTTTGCCTAATCAAATACTAAAAAAAGTTTGCACATTTTGATAAATTTATTGAAAAATGCTTTGTACTAAAATAATATTATTTGTTGTTGAGAAAGTAAATTTAAAAAGTTCCAATTATGGGCCAAAAATATATATCCCCCCCCCCTTTTATCAAAACCTAATTTACATCATTAATTAAATTCTGTTATTTCAGACTGGTAATGAATTAAGTATATGAAATGCGTATAAGAGGTTCATGGGTCACATGGTCACCTGAGCATTTTATGCTCGATTTGACGAATACATGTACTGTGTAAATTATAGAATTATTTGGACTTTTTCCTTGGTAAGCCCAATATGAAGGAGTGTGCATTTAGAGGCAAACACCTTAGTGCGGGTATTACTGTCTCATGACAGCATCTAGTTGAACTTGCATTTTGTTTAGGAATTAAATACAGTTAAGGTGGAAACCTCCCCTCCCCCCCCCCCCCCCCCAAGTAAGTAAACAACAGTCACCTCGATAGTAGTTTTATTCTTGAAAAATGTATGAAACAGAAGAAACAATACATTAGGTTTTCAAGAAATTTACTTCGGATAAATGGTGATATGACGACAACCTTTGGTAGAAATAGAAAAAGTACTAGAGACAAGCTTAAGTGGTCATGGGTGTCATTCAAAATGATATGAAAATTCTCAAATTGTCAATTTTAACATCAACCGCAAGCTCAACAAAGACAATCAACAGTGGCGGATCCAGAAATTTCATAACAGGGGGCGCAGTAGAAGGCAGGGGTTCTGGGGGCTGCATTGAAGCCTCCAGTGGGTGCAGAGCAAGGCCCTGCTGGGGTCCGGGGGCAAATCCCCCGGAAACTGACGAATTCTAACAAATAAGAGGTGTTTTTACAAACAAACTTAAAAAAAAAAAAATACAAACCGGGGGGGGGGGGGGGGGGGCTCACCTGGCACTGGATCCGTCATTGATCAAGAAATCTACATCATTGGAAAAATTTTTAAAAAAAATGAATAAGAGAACTGGTAATGATTTGAGCTAAAAAGGAGACGGGTTTTCACATACAACTTTGTAGCTGCTGGTCTGTAGCTTGTTGATCTGCACGAAGAAATTAGAATAGACAACCGGAGAGTTAAAAGACGGAACTATTGAAAATATAGCTTTATATTTGTTTCTTTCTGTGTACTACCATATTTCATTTGCCAGCTCAAAACAATGAATTCCTAGCATGCATTCTACTTTTATTTCATGATCATCTGAGAAATATGAGGATTTATTCAGTCGAAAAATCATATTTCCCGAGTCGAAATCGTTGACAAAAAGCATGACGACGACAGGGATATATAAAAATTTATGGCCTTGTCACTTGGCTGTCTGAAACCAATCAGATAACGCTTACATAGAACAATTATTATGAGGTTTAATAAATTCTGTTGCTTCTTCTTTTAAAACTTTGATGCCTGTGAAATATGTAAGGAAGAATTTAATTTTTGTGAATAAATGAAATTAAGAAATGGATCAAAAATATGCACGCACACATGCACACCTTTCAGCGTTTATTAGCTAAACCATTACAGGTGATTGCCGACTATTTTTCTATGTTCGGCAGGTAAGAATTAATATGTGATCGCATTTAGAAACATTTATTACAGAAACTTCATTTTGAGATTACAGTAGCGGCCCTTTTACAAAAAAAATATTTGAATTTTCACAGTAATGATTAAAGATAGCAAAGGCAAAAAAAAAAAAAAAGCAAAAACAAAAAAAAAACAAAAATAAAAAAATAAAAGGAAAGAAAAAAAAAGAAAGAAAATAAAGGACAGAGGCATTTATAACAGCTTTTGATAACATATGATTTACTTGTAAAGAGAAATAAGTTGACACACGTATCAATTTTCATACACGGGCTCAACTTTTATGAGACAATCCTAAGACCTGATTTTGTGCCTCTATTTTCTGTTTCTACTCCATCAGGCAGGCGCAGAAACAAATTTGTATGAACAATGAAAATTTAATTTTTTTTCAGCGTATACAAAAGAAAATGTGCTTGGAATTTTAAATAGATAACAAATATTTTAATATATGATTTTCACATACTACGGATAAACCTTTTTGGAAACAATTTTACAAATCATGACGTGATATTTTGTCCATTAGAATTCATCTCTGATACAGAGAATACGCATGCTTTTGTTTGGTTTGGATCTTCCCTTACTCCAGAATTGTATAGATTTTTTTTTTATATTTTAATGTACAAGTGCTTTATATATTCTTTAATTGAGCTAGAATAGAATGCTTAGTATGGAATTGTACAGTACATGCATTTTATTTTCGAATGAACATAATCCGTTTCTAGAGCCTGCCTAGCCCCCCACCCCCCCCACCCCCCCCCACCCCCCCCCCTTTTTCCAAATCCATGTAACTGGATCTGCCTCTAGAATTGTAAACATGTTAGAACAAAGGTAACTTCAGGGTTTATATTGACAAACTAGTAACTTGGAAGAAGAAATCAAATATCGGCTAGAGTTTATACGTATTATTAAGTTTATTTGAATAATTTAAAACCGAAATTTACACTCGTGACATCATTACGTCTTCATGGAATAACGTCAACATTGTTTCGATGCGCCTTACTAAAATGATCATAAAATAGTGAAAAAATAAGATATTTTTAAAGGTAATGTATTTTTGCATTCAGAAAGAGTCAGGCTATCAAAATTTACCAGAAAGTCATTTTGTGAAATTTTGACCTTAAGGGCCCTTTTCTCATGACGGCAGTCATATTTGTTTCATTTCCACCCATTGTTAATTCATATATTTGGAAATTTCAAAATATTTTCAGCTTCTGAATATTAAGAGCCAGCCCTCTATACACTGCACACTAAAGAGTTCTGATTTTGTGGTATTTTTATGCAGATAGAGTTATCTGCCCTTTTATTAAGAATAAAATAAATTGAAATGTACAGTTTATTACTTAATTTGTGCTCAAATCAAGCATTTATAACATTTTGATAGGCCAAGATGAATAGATTAAACACTTCATTTTGCAGGTATTTTGCCAACTTAAGTAAACAATAATGATTTCTGTTCATCAGTACTTCATAGTCTTTGAACATTTTTCCTGGGGGTAAATGCAAAGAACCCTATTTTGAAAATGTGATAGATAAACTTAATATTTAAACCTTAACACAAGATATAGTTTTCTCAGTGTCCCAAAAATATTTTCCCCTGGTGTATAGAGGGTTGTTAAAGGAGGAATTTGCATTATAATGACACATCTAGTTTGTACCATAAATAGATAACAGAGAAACATGGGAAGCTTGAAGTCAAGATGTTTCAGAAGAAAACTTTTTGCATTACACTCAGGTGACTCTCAAGGCCCATTGTAGGAATTGAAATTAAATAATACTTTTTTTCTCTTACAGGTGATGTTGAAAAAGTGATTAAAAAAAAATTCAATATATCAGAAAATAAAGAAGTTCGACTATGGAACAAATATATGAGTAATACTTATGAACATCTCAATAAAGAAGAACAGACTCTACAGGAAGCTGGACTGTACGCTGGACAAGTTATTGTCATAGAGCAAAAAAATGATGATGGTTCATGGCCAAGACAGACCAAAAGGTTCACTTGATTTTCATTTATTTTAATGAATCGAGAGAAAAGAGAAACTTAAACTAGGTTACAAAGAATCAAATAATCTGAGAATTTTTGGCTGGTGCACTGAGATAGAAGACCAGAAGAGCTTATGCATTGGAAAAGTGGCTTTGCATGTCCATCCATATTAATGCAGTGACAAACATAGAAAAAGATGCTTATTTTGAGTTTAATGCACAGACATACCCTACGGCTGAAAGTTTTATTTTAAAGAGACATCCCTTCTCATGCATTTTCGTCGGGTTGTAGAGTTTTCTCGGGTCAAACTTTTTTTAAAATTACGAATAAAAGTGAAAAAAAGGGGGGGGGGGTAATATTTTGTCTGTCAATATATTATTCTTCACAAGTAAACTTTTGAATTAAATAAAAAAGTAACTCTTTGTATGTTGTAGGATACTTATAGCTATATAAGTTAATATTGTAAAATTAATTATAAATATTATTGTTTGTTTTTTTTTTGTTCTTTTAAGAGATTGCGTTTTTAAACAAAATATATTCCATGTAGTTACTTAATGTAATAAATTATGAACATTTACCTAAATATTTTAAAGATAATTATGCAAACAATGTTTTACAATTAAATTAGCCTTAAGGTCATCTTCACACTAATAAGTTTTTTATTCTCCTTGATCTGAAATTGTAAACGTTTTATGTAACCGGAAACGAATTATAGAATCACAGCCAGCACCACCTGTGATAATGGCATCGATTGATTACCGATCATAATATTGTTAAACATATTAAATTATCTTCTTCTCTTAATCAAAAAAAGGCTAAAAGGTTTCATTGTATTTAACTTCAAGTTTTAAAAAGACAAAATTCTAAATAGATATGAATATAAGCTCAAACAAAAGCACTCAATTTCCAGAGAAAATATGCATGTTTTGACAAACTTTCAAAGAGCCAGGTACGTTAGTAGTGAAAATCGGCCCTTCTTTGAAAATTTAAAATAATTATAAAGAAATGAGTTGAGGATGTACACTTTATAAATATATCAACAATTTTTATCTAACTTTTATAGTTTAGTTGCAATAGCCCTTTAAAAATGGAATGTATTTTATTGCATTTAACCGCTTTGAGCACAATGACGTCATTATTGCTGTCAATTTAGAACATTCAAATACAACTTAATTTAATGTATCAATGTATATTATACGTAAAAAATCTTACATTAAAATGTTTACATTGCATAGTTTATTTACTTCAAAGAAAAATTGCACAAAAAATAATGTTTTAAAGAATAAATGACCTCCATAGTATCGATATACCTGAATATCATAACTGCAGTCAAAATTGCTTGCATAATGTGCAGTCTGTTTTTCTCCACAAATAAATTTATTTTTTCAGGAATGTTTAAAAAAAATAGATAGAGAATGCAAAAAGATCCTTGAAATGAAGTTTTTATTAACAAACAAGAATAGTAAATGAGGAAATATAACTTACTTTTAATTAGCATTAATTTTGACCTATTTGCACTAAAGTTCATATTATAGTTTTATAATACTGAAAATCGCCCATTTTGAGATTAATCAATACAATTTTAAAACAGTATTAAATTATTCATGCAAAAGAGATCAATGGGCAGCAAAATAATACAGAATTATATCACCAGGATGTAATAATAACTCAGGCTCGAAGTATTGGGGGTGGGGGTGGGGAAGGGGCTGTCACATTTTTTTTGAACATTTCCTTTTCTATCGAAAATGTCTATTGAAGGGCTAGTAGCTCTCTTCCCCCACTTTTTGTTGCAGGGTTATGTGGTGATGTATGAAAAAAAATGATGTGGAAGAAGTTGAGAAGTTGGACCTCCCTCCCACGAAATGGGATTTTCAAGTTTGATCCCCCCCCCCCCCCCCCCCCCCCCGCATTTCAGAACCGATACTACGTGCCTGCAACTTAAGGGGATGAAGGACACATGGTCACATGACTTTGTTAAACTACGTCATAGTCTACATTCATATACGTGCAAAACGTTTAAAGCATCAGTTCTTGTATAAATTTTTGACATTTTTTTTCTTTAATTACCATCTTATATTAAAAAAATAAAAAGTTTAACATTGTTGTAAACATTAACAAATTATGAAAAAAGATTGATCCACTCCTCTGTTTCTTTAAACTGCTCCACTCGGCACACCTCGGCCGATTCGTACCTCGTAAGGTGACGGAATATGACGGAATAATGTAAACTGCGCATCCAACAAGTCGGTGATGTCATACACGATCTGCTAGTACAGCAAGATCATACTCGGTGAATACAAGGACGGTATTATTATGTAAAAACAGGTCATAATCAGTATATGATGAAGTATTTTGAGAAACGGGGAACACAAAAATTATTTTTTCATGGCTGATGACGGAAATCTTATGTATGTATATCTTATTTCGCTTATTTAGCTTACGTGTGACATCATAGTTGGTTTTTCCCGTACTCGAGAAATGTAAACATGACAAGTTTTTGTCCTGCTTATGTCGTCTTTAATGATGTCCTGTGAAATATTGAGGTCAGCTTCACCATTCGAAATTTTTACAGTTAATCAATAATTTGAAGGACTTGCATTTCAACGTAAATTTAAAAATATTGAATGATAGGATTTTTTGTAAATTACGTTTTTTGTTGTTTAAGTTGTCTTAAAAATTCGTAATTTTCCCTATCCAGATGCAGTGTGATAGATGAAACTTGCCTTTTCGAATTTTAAACCCAATTCATACTCTGAAATATTTTAAAAGATACATGTTCACTTACAAATTTTTTATATCTGCTTTAAAAATCCAATTATGGACAGAGTAATGAGCCCGGAAACATAGAGGATTAAAACTCCACTTAGATTCTGTAGGACATAGTATTTGTCAATCAGTATCTCTAAAATAAGGTAAGAAACCTAATGATATAACTGCTTTAAGATATGTGGGACATACTTAACGAGGTTCGCTCCTGAGCTTTTGAGCAGATTAATGTCTTAACCTATATTTCAAAAATTCTGCATAAAGTTTTGATTCTTACAATAAATTTGAATTCTACAATGCCAATTAAACTATATTCAGTTAAAACTCCATGATTAAATTCCATACCAAATGCATTAAGTGAGGAACTATGTTTTGTGGCGGAAGATTTTTTTAGGAAGAAAATGATAATTTTTTCTCTTTCGAAGTATTTAAAGTATGTTAAGTTTGGATTCATATTTTTCCATGCAGCCTGCACACAGGGTTATTTTGTGTAGTGAACTGTTTTATACTGGTCCTAAATTATATTTCAAATAAACTGTCATGAATTCTATCATCATATTTCATAAATATATCAAATATATTGTGAAAATCAAGAAAAAAAAAATCCCTATTTTAAGCTTAAAATTAGCACTATTTTAGTAATATTGAAAAATTAACATCACAGACCCCCACTTTTTATTTTATTTTCTGAATATATAAGATACTTTTAACCATTCTTCTTAAATTCAGTAAAATGTCATTACTTTCAAATTATTTTTTTGCTTGTTAAATTTTTAATGCCAGAGAAATGAAATTTTTTGAGTGCAAAAAGGTCAAATAATTGAACATGCGGAGTAATTTGAAAATTTTTCCGTTGTCAAAAATTTTAATGTGTCTATTCAAGATGAAATAAGGCTGTGTTTGTTCCCATAATTTATCTGAATAAAAAATATTGGAGTAAAAACTTTAAAAATTGATTTATGTGTAAGACGTATTTACAGTACAAAAAGGTCAAACTAAATGCTCTGTAGCGCCAAAAGAAGCGCATTGACCCCCATTTTTTGTTTTGATTTTTAATTAAGCTATGTGTATAAATTCTAAAAATATACTTGATAAAAAATTCTCATTACTTTTGATGGCAGGATCCAACCTCCTTAATAAGAAATATACAAAATATAAAAAAAATTGAATGTCAAGTAATTTTTCAGCTAAAGGTCCTTCTTCCCCTTAAGAAATATCTAGTAAAATTCACTGACTTCAGAATCCTGAAATTCTGAGTTACTCCAAGGTTTTGTTTAAAGTAAAAATATATCCTATTGCGCTGAGAAAGGGAGGAAGGGAGAATGAAAGTAAACTATTGGTATATCAAATACTAGTAACAAAAAAAAATCAAAGTTGACCCTAAGGTTCCTTGTGAACTGTACGTCAAAGTTAACTTTTTTATTTGTCAAAATTCATACATATAATACAGACTGGATCTAAATTACATATCTTTGAGTCAGAGTCAAGCTCTAGGTGACATGCCTTCATCATTTCCAACAGCATTTTCTTTAAGTTTACAATGACCTTGCAAATTGATCTTTGAAATTGGACCACAGACAAAGGTGTCAACTAACAAAGAATAAATTAAAATCATTTTCCTAATTTACCAACAGGGAACTTGCAAAGCCATACAAAACAGCTGATGTAAATTCAAATAATAGTAGTGATAAAATTTAATTTAATTTGTCCAATGGGGAATTCAGACAATACTTTTCTTCCAAAACTTTGTGAAATATATAATGAATTGCTTTGGCAAATGAGCTAAAAAATATTTCGATTATTACCAGTAATTTTAACAATCCTTAATTATGTCTCTGACGCCGTTTTTACCATATCAACACATAACTTTATGATTGGACGTTGTTCTGTTTTCATGGGCATTACTTGTGATTTTTCTGAACATACCAGTATCCATCATCCCTCCAATAATCGATATTAAAAATATCGGAAAATGAAGATGGTCGACTCATCTCATACATGACATATTTAATTTTTATTAAGATTTGACTTGGTTTATTATAAGATAGGTATATTTTTTCAACCCTTCATAAAAAGGTTGTAACATTTCAACCCTGGGGCATATGCACTTATCTGCGACCTTAAAGATGTAGATTTTTCTTTTTTCTTTTTTTTTTTTTACAAAAAAGTTATTACGTTGGATTGTCTTAAGTTGGATGCAAAGTACAGCGATAAGGTTATCAGTGTCTCGAAACGCGGGGTTT